ACATCTCTGACCGGACATCCCTGACCGGATATTACCTAAGGTGATTTTTCTTTTAAAATTAAAGTGACAAAAGGTTGATGTATAACATCCTTACCTTAGGGGTAAAACAGATGTCAAGTTGATTTTAGATTTTTTTTTTAATTTGTTAGAACGAGTTTGAAATATTTGATATTTAATACCTTGTTTAATACTTTTTTTTTTAAATTTTTTTTATATAAGTAAAGGAGGAATTGTCGTATAGCTGGTTGCACAGGCTAATGAGTCATACACGCTATATTCAAAAAGAATGACAAGTCAACATGTATATACATATATTAAGGTTTTTATTTCATAATGTGCACTATGGAACATGACTTTGATTTATGAATATTATAGTGCAGGATACATGCAGACTGATCTTATGTCAAAATGATTAATATATGTAACTCTAAAACGTGTGTATTTATATACATTATAAAATGTCCTTAGGACAGGTTGATATTATATATACTATTCTCAAATGTCAGAAAAAGGAGTTCGGCTTTGGTATTCCACTCGTTCACTTGTGTGTTTGTATTTGTATATTAAAAGTATGTAACATCCGTGAGTTCTTCCTCCGTTATACGACAGTACATTATGATCATAATAACATATTTTGGCTACAGTTATGAAACACATTTACATAAAAGCAATTTAAGACAATCAAATTTTCACAACAAACTGTTTCTGTTACAGTTGGGTTTAAATTATCATTTTTAAAGACTGAAAACTGAGGCTGATTAACCTGTTCCGAAAACTGGATAATACGTAGATATGAAATGATTTCAAATAATTATCACTCAAAGATCCAAAATAACATGAACTAATTTTATGTAACGATGTATAGTGGGTTTGGTGCTACACACGTACCTATACAAAGAAATACTGCTGATAAACTGTCAATTGTTTTGACTGGGGATATTCTTTGGATGCTAATAATGACCGGCAGTGATGATTTTAAGAGATATTGGAAAAATAAAATAGAGAAAAACAGAATCCCTAAAGAAAGTCCAACACAACAAAATTGGAAATGTTGCAGGCTCGGTTTGATTGAGCCTGTTCATAGACGGTACTGTAAAGTGCAAGTTACCGTCCACGCCCCCTAGCACCGGCTTAAGCAGAATTCAACATTTAACACGAAAATGCTGAAATTTTGAATTTAGAAACATCCGCAGATGTGTTCATACGGCGGTTATCACGGAACCTTCAATGTGACACAGTAGTGCCATTCCATGAAAAGCGGCGTATGGTCCCCAAGTAAAAGAATGTCTTTGCCCCAAACGAAAACCTCGATATATTCTAACATATTATAACACACAATTCCACGTGACTCCGTCTGTATCAACTATTGTGATGATTGAGGGAGTGTCATATGTTGCGGTTATTACGAGTATTGTGTTTTGTGTTTAGGTCATTGGAGAAACTTTGCTTATTTAAATTGATTTGGTAGATCACGTTCTTTTTACATTGATGTAATTGATTTACATAATTATATACTTATACGACATTTTAAACGTGAGTGCATTAATATAATTATTTCTTTTTAATAAATTACTTTTCTCTGATAACACACTCAGCAGATCAGAATGATGTAGAAATACGTTTGAACGCGTCTTGTTGATTTGTAAATGTGAAACCTTCTGTTTTAAATTATTCACAATATTTACATAAAATGATGCAATAAATGAGAAAATAGTTGAAGTCTCTTTTATTCTTCTATTTTATTAACCGATCTTTATTCATGATTGGGGTTTATTTACAAGGAAACGCGTTGTTTTTCATTAAAAGCACTTAGCTTAAAAGACAAACGGAAACAATGAGAAAACATTTCCAATGTGGAAGTGGTAGAAACTATCAAATCAAAATGAGTTGTGCACATTTTGTTGTTTATGTTTTTGAAAGGAATTGTGATGAAACTTAAAATCCTGTATATATTATTTTAAATCTATTTAAATACAAAATGAAAGGCATTAAGGCATATAAGTTTTGTTTTAAACAAGTTTTCTATCCTATACAATATTTAAACTCCTTTTAATGTGTAATTAGCGTTATCGATTTGTTAATCCCTTTAATTTAGCAGGTGCACGTTTGTGTGAGACTGCATTCGAATAGGTCCTAGAATGTGTTGCTTACTTCCATATTCTTCTTACAACAGTTTACGAAAAAATGTTTGCACAGCAAACTCAGCTATATTTTTAACAAAAAATAATTTGCCGTTCATTTTTTAAATAGCTTAAAATTTCGCCTCCCATTGGGGTTTTCCTGTCTACATTTAAGAAGGATGTTCAGTGGGATTTTAGCCCCATTCATTTGAAATGGCGAAAATATTTGTGAAGAAAACAACAATTTTTATATGTGGAATATTTATCTTTTTAAAATCAATTAATTTTTTAAAAAAATTTCAATAGTTTAAAATTCCTCTTTCTTTTTCCCCATGATGGTAATGGGGGAAATCTTCTTATCTAAATGGGAAACAAAATCCCCTTATTAAATGGTAGCTACTTATGGGGAAGTTTGCCCATTAGGTAATAATGGTGATATTATCTCATTACAGGGTAATGCAAACAACATACATGGAAAAATTATCCTGCCTAACAATTCTTTTTTTCATAAATGATTATTAAATAGTCTTTACTGTGTGCCGATTTTTCTCTTTTTCATCAGATTAACTTTATTCTAACGGTTCGTTATAATTATTAAGGTATCTGAGGTGAATCCTGAGTATTTGTTTTTACAGGCATCTGATTTATTCAAATGGTGATTTAAGTTAGCAAGATAGGTATCTGAGGTGAATTCTGATTAGCTGGTTATACAGGCGCCCGAAAGACATAAAGGTGAAGCTAATTGCGCTAAATCGTATTATGCGATGTTCAACATAGTCTCCTATGGCGATGAATCCTGTATTCTGATCGTTTATACCTGATTGGAATATACAATGAATGCAAAAAAAATGAAAATATGTGCGCATATTGATGGACGTACGCACAAATTTCTGCTCAAATAGTAATTCTTTTATTCATTCAGTTGTTTAGTTTTTTATTTGTTTATTTTATAATTAAGTATTTTAATCAGTGGCATGGAGAGGAAATTTGATTCTTATTGATGTCAACATTTTCATACAATGCTTGTTGTAACTTGTTTTGAAATCTATTTAATTTTTTAAAAACAAAATGATATTTTACAAATATTTTTATTTTCATGTGTGTAAAAACATTTAGTGCATTTAGAACAAGATATTTGTTAGGTACGGCATTGTCTACATTTTACATGTACCTAAAAACTATATTTTGTTTGATTAGAAAACAAATCACCTGTCAGTAGTTTTATCATTCATGCCAGACAGCTTAAGTAACAGAAACATCGTTTAGGTCGGAAAGTGTAAATAAAGTGATTATGGTATAATTTGTATTATTTTAAACATCATATGCTATTTTAGATTTGTTAACTGCAAGATTACATATTCAATTTGATTTCAATACTGAATTTTAAACCCACATGTATATTTTATGGACTATTAAAAACCAAATAAAAAACAGTTTGTTTCCATAATTTTATAATCGGTAATAAAAAAGGTTGTGACATAAAAGGTGTCTGTTAATTAACACACATGAATGTTGTACGTAAGCAGAATAACATAATGTTGTTACAGAACAAAATATTATTATGCTGCTATTTCAAGGATTTTAACCGTTTAACAATAATTTCTTGCTTGCACAATTCGCTTTTAAGACATATGTTAATATATCTATATTATACAAGCACATTGGAAATACAAGTATTCATTTTTTTCAATAACCGAATAACTTTTGCAGAAGATATAAATAAATCTTTATACTTTTGTAAGTTTAAACATTGACACACTGACGAGGGATGCTTTGTTGACTAGCAGACAGAGTAGCATACAATTATCACGATGTAGAAGGAGCAATAATTAGTGACAATCATTTCTCTAGGGTAGTATACGCGGTCATAGACGGTGCAAAATAAATTGGATACATAAAATCACCTCCATTTGTCATTAGAAATATATCTATCAAGAGCTGAGATGATATAAAAACGCGAGTTACTTTACTGGAATATTACAATGCATTTATAAGAGTTTTCGTAGGAATGACAATTCAATATAATTTGTTGATAACGCTAGATGGTGATTATGATGTGAGTAAAATCGATTTGATTCTTTTCTCAACCCTGATGTTTTCATCGCTTTTACATTAAAGTCTTAAAAAAAAAACATTTGACTGGGTATTTTTGAGAGATCTGTTCTCGAATATCTTTCATACATTATCTTAATAAGTAAGTGCTGACTTCATTTTCATCAGAATTGTTAACTTATAACGAAAATAAATTTTATGTCTGATTAAAACTGAAAAACATGAGTATTTTTCAAACTGACAAAGAATTTTATTTATCAGCCTATGTGCGCCTATCAAGACATTGTTATATACACAAGGAACAATTCAGAAAAATTGTCTAGATAGAAAACTTTTTTTCATGTTCAGTAAATTACTACATGGCGATTTGCGTCAATTTATTTTTTTTCGAATTTTACATTTGGCATTATGTTTTCTAGATCTAAAATATCGTTCTCAAACGGTTAATGAATTAATTCAAGTTGAAGTAAACTTGAAAATTCCGCTGCAATTCATTTTGATGTACTAATTTACATTAATCTTGATTTTACCTTATAATATCTTAAGGTGGGCTTTCATCTGTTTGGAACGGATATCTGCTTGTTGTTAATTCTTTATTATTCTCTTACAACTTAATGTACAACATGTATAAACATAACTATCATGGTCTGCCTCACACGTGTTGTAAGTTAATATTCCTGATAAGATTCTGTAATGTTCGAAATCAAATTCACCAACAGTTTGCAAAACATTTGCACCCAACTGTTTAACATGAGCTTTTACCATCTGTCCAATTACAATTGAAGCAAACTTAGATTGAAGAAGGATAATACAAAACAATGAATATGTTCATAATTTGGTGTTTTTGTCATTTTTCCGTACTTTATGTATTTTACTTTCTAAAAAAACGACATATTTTTTACAAGAAAACGCGCCTGCTCATTAATATTCTCGGCAAAACTAAACTTTTCAAATTTGTCGAATTCGTTCTGAAACCTTTTCATTGCTGCCGAGGTATTTCCCATTTTGAAGATCATTTCCTTTTGCTTAGTATGTAACCTGGTAAACAGACAAACAGTTTAAGAAATCAATATCTGACATCTTTTATTTTTTGAAGTGTAGAACACCTGAATGTAATTGTATTAAAAACAATTATTCATTGCATGTGTGTAAATTATTTATCAATGTCATGCATTTATGGGAATTGGTGCGCATACTGTAGTAAGAATAAAAGTCTGCTATCAAGAAAATGGGCCTGTCAGTATTTTATCTCGGAAAATCATGGAAAATCATGGAAAGATCTCACTTTTATTAAAAGTAAACTCGCTTGAAGTCAGAAAAAATAAATAGCTCTTTAGAAGCATCATAAAATATTAGTCTAATCGTGATAAAATACAAGTCGTTATTCAATTAAACATTATTTAATAAAAAGCATGACAAACAAATCACATTTAAATATATAAGTTTTATTTCCATAAAACAATGTCCATCGCCTTTATGTGAGGTTTTATACGAACCTTCTTTAATCCTTTACAATTTTTATCTCTAAAGATAATATTTTTATTTAAAAAAAAAATGTACTTTTAAAAGATTTTTAAGGAATTCCAAAAACTGTTTATAAAAGTTTAAATGAAATTTTTAAATCATACCCCCTATAGGTTATGGTTATAAATGTTAAGATGCGGTTTTAAGAAAAAATACTCCAGCAAGACAATATATAATTACACGTTTATATTCATGTCAACATACTGTAAAATGACACTTTTACAAATCACGGCATAACTAAATTGTTACATATAATCAGAGTAAAATGTTCCATCATAGGTTGCCTTCCTATGAGTAGTAGTGTGGGAATTACATGTTCATGCAATAAAATCTTACTTGTTCATTAGCGAGATATGCTTTCACAATAAATTTCAAAGGAACTGCACTGAAGTCAAACAGACTGAAAACATAAAATTTGAATTACTTATATAGATCAGCCGGGACAGATATGCCACACGATAAAGAAAAAAATTGTAACTCGTATTTTTGTGTTAATCTGGGACCGTTTTCAGTGAAAAGCGTTGCAACGCTTTTCAATTTTAGATAATTTTTCACAATAATAATAATTATTCTGGAATAAAAGACAGAGAGAAAAATCTGGAATTTTGCACAATTAATGGAACATTAATTTCGAAAACTAACTTCCAGTCCCGTTATATCAACCACCCTCAGTTGAGTCCCTTTCAACTGGAGTTTTAATCGTTAGATAGAGCATGTGAGTAAACATCATTAGTGCCAAATTCCAATTAAATGCAGACATTTATGAGGTACGGAATGGTGTACATATCTAACTGTGTTATCTTGTTTATAAGGAAAACCAAACACCTGTCAGTATCTTTATTGTTCATGCCATTAATATGCCACATTAATAACAAAGGATTGTTTTAAGTTGAAAATGGGATAAACCACATGTGGGTATAGGTAATACATGTAAGATTATATTCTTGAATGTCATTTTCGAACAGTGTATTCTTGTTATTTATATCATCACTTAAAAAGATTTTAATTCGTATCTTTATTGATGATTATTTGTATAGACTGCGTACCTTCTATTAAACGTTGAAAGAATTTGTTTATGCATTTGACAATGTATGACTTATTGACAAACAGAAATAGTGACATTCAATCGGCACTGTGTAGAAGGAGGTAATGATAAGTGGCAATATATTTTCTAGGACAATGCATTAAGAACGCCAACATAGACTGTGTGAAATATATTGGATACATAGCTCCTCTCCTTGTGATAGGAAAGTAACGCATAGCCGAGATGATATAAGAAACGCTGTCTTACATTATTGGAATATTATGTATTCTTTTTTTTTTTCGATTGTCAATATGATATAATTTGTCGATTATGACACAATGTTATATGATACGGTATGTATAACTGACTTTGATTTACTTTTTTTATAAATCAACATTTCAAAATGCATCAACTTACAATTTGTTAATCATACATTCGAAGTATATCACACACTTCATTGATATTGTTGTGAAGTTCTTTTCTCAGATATCTCGTTTTTAGTTTGTCATTAAATACCTCACTTTAATATGTAATATCAAATTGAAATGGGTAACAGTTTTGCTGATGATATCTCTGATACGAACACTCATTTCATATCGAAGAGTTTACGGCATGATTCAAATTATCTTAATAAGTTGTTATGTGTTTTGTAACTTTACAAACTTTCAAATATTTCATTGGCGTCCGCGCCGAAGCGCGGCGCCTCTTATGGAATGAAATCAGATTTTGTGAAAGGGCGACAGCAACTTCTCGAGCCTTTTAGTCGGTCATAATAAAAGCCGATCATTCCGATCGGTATGAGGGTGCTTGATTATGAAATGTCGCGATATGTACAATGAATAGCGAACTGAAGAATTTCGCAATGCAAACATTTTCAAATGAAATAACCTTTTCCGTCAATAAATCGCGCTCTTCGGGGTACTTTTATTTATCATTTTGTAGTACACAGTGGGTTATTATGGTATGTTATTGTTGTACATACCATAATAACCTTTTCTATTCTATTTCATGTTAATGTTGTACATGAAATAGAATGATGAGTTGATGACCTAAATATTCCGAAAATCTATTTATAAAGGGATGTACTCCTATCGGTAATTCCCGGTCTCTGCTGGTCTATTTTGACCGGGATTTACTAGTGTACGACACGTTTATTGTCCGGTCTCTCCCGGTTTTGGAGTAGATGTTTGATATCGTTACAGAGCAGAACAAATATTTTACAGATAAATAAGCTTTTTTTCAAAATGAATGTTTGTCACTTAGTTTGGTTACAATAATTAATAAACACAGATCAACTCTCAAATTTATTGATTATTATTATACATAAACATACAATTCGAAAAAAAACCCAACAACAACAATACTTTAGGCATTTTGTTACATACTTATCATGTGTATAATATTAACATCTTTGTTCTGCGAAAAACATGTCTAAACTAAAACCAATTTGACTTGCAACAATTTTATGCTAGGAAAAAATGTAATAAGTGTACTATGCAATGTGATATGTAAACAAAACACACACAAATGTTAACGTTAGATGTTCACTTACTTAATAATATCTATAAGTATAATTGGTTCTTAACTTTTTATACTCGGAGTTAAAATGAAAGAAATGTGCATTGTTATTATATATTATTAATGTCGTTATAATAATGAGATTGTAGATTTTTTATCAGTAGATTCACCTGTAGGATGAACGCTAATGAAGTTTTAATGTAACATTGATATATCGACGTTAGAGTGGAGTAACTATATGATTAAATCAATTTTCCATTAGTGTCATCAAATAATATGGCATGTGAAAATTTGTGGGCAAAACTCATTGACATGCAAACTCAAAAAAAAAACTTATTAAGTATTTATAGTGCAAGACATAAACATGTACTGTTCATACTTTTACCTACTTAAGTTATAGTTTCAAGTTTTAACATGTGACCCAAAATTATTGTATTTGTTCACAGTTATCCCGTTTGTACCCTAAAATTGGAATTATATCCTTCATTTATTCGCAACTGGCTGCAGGTATATAATAACAGTACTAACAAATTTCACCAATTAACAATGGTACTAAATTTAAAAGATATTACTTCGTGTTGCAATGCCCGTCTTAAATGAACGTCAATCTTATTAATAGATCTTAGCAGAAAAGAAAAAAAATAGAATTGTTTTCCAACTTTTAAAATATGGTTTATGTTTCATGTAGGGAACAAAAGACAAAAGTTAGGAATCTTTACATATAAATACTGGGCCATTGCTTTGTAAGTAAAACATAAGTGTAACATACCAATTTATTTTAAGAAATGGAGAAATTCTTTAGATGAATTAGAAAACAGTACTTAGTATATATATATGTATATATTGTATAATCCAAGAAATGGAGAACTTGTTTAGATGAATTAGGAAAAACAGTACTTAGTATCTATATGTATAAATTGTATAACTTGTCATTTCAA